CCGCGCACGTGGTATTCATGATGCGGGCCATCCATAGTGTGAATCTGTTATCACAGTGCTACAGTGAACGTAGCTAAGTGTAGTAAACACACTTGTGTGTGAAATATTGTTGTTGGTACAGTGAGTGCACTGGTTGTGAAATGAAATAAGTTGTTTGACAATGTTGCTTGTGATTATACTTGTGTAAAATATATTAGAAATGATGTGAAGTATGTGTAAGGTGAAACTTTATGTTTGATTGTGCATTGGATAGTGTAGCATACTCACCTTTATATTTATTTTTTAGGTGACCAAGACAATCAGCACGGGACTCAGTGAAATCTTGTAAAGACAATTTCAAGTCTTTGCACTTGTTTCAAGTTTCATACTCAGAGCGATTGCCTAATTTTCCAACTTAACAAAAGGGTTAGATACAATGATGGTTGAGTACACCAACACATAAGCTAAATTTTGCAGTAGTTAATTCGATTTAACTCCTCTATTAGATAATTAATATACAAACAAAAGGGCAGTGGATATGTAATATAAATTAGCATAGTTAGAGTTAATCATTCTTACTGTTTTCATGATTGGAATGTTCAAAGTCATTAAAAGGTTAAATATTTCAGAATTTAACCTTTTTACATTCATGAAAATATTGTCTAAATCTAAATTGTCTCTAAAATTTTTTTATCCTAGTTTTACTTAGTCAACTTTATTTTGTATTAGGTTTTTTTTATAAATATATTATGCATTATTGCTGCTTTTATTGCGAGCTGGACGGCTCATTCTTAAATGGTTATAAATTTAGATTTATTTAAATAAAAAGTGAAGTCCTTCCCGCTCTCTCCCTCCAAGTCTCCTCTTCTTATTATAACCACTTTTTTGCTCACCTTCAACTTCTACTTTTCCTTTCCTCTATTTTACAAAACTTTTTTTTTTAAAGTTAAGTTTATTGACTTAAGTAAAATATCACTTTTTTTTTTTTTGTATATTTCGCTTAAATAAATCTAAATTCATTTAAGTAAAAACAGAATATAAGTTATAGTTTACGTTAAAATGGTAAAAAATCATTATTATTCTTAAATTCAATTAGATTCTAAGATCGTAGAAATAAAATGCATCAAAGAAAAGTACAAATTTATAAGCTCTCCTCATTTTCAACTAAGACTTTTAGATGGAGATAAAAATAATGGTGATCAGAAATGATAATAATAAATATTTTAATACGTTATTTTTAAAAAAATTATTTTTAATTATTAATTAAAATTTATAAAAAATTACAAAAATTATGCTATTCTTACTCTTTTCTATTTTACTTATAATTTACAATTTCTTTTATAATTTTATATTTTTAATAAATTTTGATTAACGATTAAGAGTATGTTAAAGATTATATTTTTAACACTTTTTGACATTGTTTATTGTCAAATTACAATTACGACAGGATGACGATTGAATAGGGGAAAGGAAGATAGTAGAAAGGATTGCAATTAGCATTAGAAAAAATTGATGATAAAGAGTTATCACTAAAGTTTATTAAATAAAATATTGAAAAAAATTTTAAGAAAGAAAAAATAATTCAAAATCAAATTTAAATTCAGAAATTATTTGTGCATAAAAAAAAATATTAGCACCCCGCAATGTCTATTAAATAAAATGATTACCTTTTAATTAATTATGCAAAATTATGTTAACTTTAAAAATATATATTTTACTCTAAAAATAATTTATATTTTTTAATTTTTAAATTTATTAATATTATTTTGTTTTTTAATTTATAAGAGATTTTAGTTTTTTTTATTTTTAAAATAAAGAAACACAATTTTAGAAATAATATTTTTAGTTTGAATTAAAGTAATAAAATATTATAAGAAACAATTATTTTTTTTGTTTTTGGATAAAAGAAATAAATTTTTTTAAAAAAATTTGAAAAATATAATTTTAAATTTTTCTTATTTTTAACTATTAAGTATGAACTCACTTTTACACAGAATTTAAGTTAATACATAATTACTCAATAAACTTCTATTATTCAAAGAACAATAAAAGTAAATCTATCATTTATCAACATGATTTGATTATTGCATTAATTCAAAACCTTTTTTCTTAAAAAAATTGTATACATTTTTTAATTTATGAGAATTTTTATTTTATGATTTTTTTTTCATAATAAAAACATTATTTAAAAAAAACTCGCGTAACAATGACAATCATAAAGTAAATATAACAATAATAATATATAAACATACAATTTTATGATCTATTACGAGATTTATTTTTATTTTATTGGTTCATAAAAAAGAAAAATCACTGTTATCCTAAAAAAAAATTTAATTTGTCAAAAGATATTATTATTATTATTATTATTATTTTTACTTTATTGCATTGATTTAAAAGAGAAAAGAATAATAAAGAAAAAATTTAATAAAAATTAATTTTTATATCATTGTATTAGTAACAAGGAACAATAGAAAAATAAAATAAAAATAAAAAAAGGTCATTAAAATTTTGTTTGTCACAAATTTTATTTTTATTGCATTGGTTTATAAAAAGAATAGTAGAAAGAAAAAAAATTCACTAAAAAAATGATTCCTTCATAAAATTTATTTTTTTTGTTTTTTTTTTATATTATTGATTTACCATTAAAGATAGAACAATGAACATATAGAAAGAAAAACAAAAGCAAACAAGAATAAACAAGGAAAATCACTGCCACACAATGTTGGTATATAGAGAGAGAGAGTGCAAAAGGTAAGATTATAATAATATTAAAATAAAATTGAATAATTACTTTTAAAGTTGTGCAAAATAAAATGTATGAAATAAAATATTAAATTTAATAATAAAGATAATAATTATAACAATACCATTATTTCATTATTTTGTCCATAATCTATATAATATAATATGAAATGTAAATAATTTATTTTTTTCTTTTGCAGGAAAGATTGTTTAGACAATTTCAGTATAATATAAGTATTAAAATAAAAAAGAGTAGCTTAAAATAATATCCTCTTTAAATAAATTTTCAACTATAAATACTTCAAATTAAAAAATAAAAGAAGAAAAAATTACAATATAAATAATAAATTTATAATGTATTATAATTTCTTTTAAAATCATATAATAGCTTGTCCTTTAATCTTATTTTAAGTTGCAATATAATAAAGAACAAGCTAAATACAATGAATAAAAGAAGATTCAGGCGAATAAACAATTTTGTAAAATTATTTTTTAAAATTATGTTAAATTTCAAAAAATAAATATGAATAACATTTTTATGTTTTGTTGAGATAATTAATTGTCTTCTTATATATATTGTTATTAATTTTTATATTTATACGCTTATATATTATTACCTAAACGTGAATTTTATCATTAAGAAAAAATTGTCTAAATTTTATATATGATTCGTAAAAAATGATATCAATTTAATTTTTTAAAAATGATTTTAGTTTAATTATTAAGATTAATTTAGAAATATATTAGTATTTTAAATTTTCAATAACATAACAAAATATATATATATATATATATATATATATATAATTATGTATAATTATGTATCATCAATATACATTATTGCTATCTTCTATGTTTTCTGACCATTTTAGTAGGTTGTTAAAATTATGTATCCGCGTTGAATTTGAAAAGTAAAACGTGTAATAACAGGAAAATCATAAACTATTGGTACTTTAATAAAGCAAAATAGCACTTGATATTTTTTTATTTTATTTCTGCACATACTTTCCTCAATATAATGTCGTTTTCTTTTATTTTAATAGAATGTTCGAGAGTGATTAAAAAATGAAACAACTCTAATGTGCAGGCCACATGCCATTTAAAAATTCCCTTAGTAATATAAAATAAAGATTAATTAGTTATAATTATTATTTTATTAAAATGATAGATAATCCCTTTCAACATCATAGTTATTTCAAATTAGCTCTTGAATTTTTAGTGAGAGTAATTAATTGATTTTTACTTTTATGATTTGAATTATTATTATAACTCAAAAAGAATCACAATTTAATGTATTTAAAGCTTTTAGTTAAAGCTTAAATAGCGTGATGTCTTATTTAAACAAAAAAAATATCAAATCGTGAGCAGTAAGAAATATGAATAAATAATAGTAAATAAAATAAAATAAACAAAACCAATCCGAGTTTAACAGTTTAACTTTGAAATCACTTTTGTATGGAACACGTTTCTCGTGTATGGATTTTTTTTTTAATTTAAAAAACGTGTGTACTGCGATGTTCTAAAATTTTTTATGGGTATGATATCAAAAAATTTATACTAATAAAAAAATATATAACAAATTGAAAAAATATATTATTATATATAATTATACTATTTATATTAATTATTACATAATCTTATTATATATATATATATATATATATATAGTATATTGAATTTTTATTTTATTTTTTTATTATTTTTTATAAATTTTTAATTTTGAATAAAATATTATTAATATTTAATCAATTTCTATTTATTATAAAAAATTATAATATAGTATATTAATATAATAATTAAATATTAATAATAATAGAATTAAGAATATAAAAAATATATTAATAAAATATTATTATTTTATTTTTAAATTTTAATTTATTTATTTTTAATATAAATATAATAATTATTATTAAATAAATTTATTATATAAATACGTATCCAAATATTATTAATTAAAATCTTTTATATACGATATCCTGAAAATTGTTAAGGGTACGTCATAATTTACTTTTAAAAATTCACTTTTGTAAAACTTTACTGTTTCTTCGTCTTTGAACAATAATTAACTTCTTATTCATTTGGCCACCCTATCAACTGTATAAATACTGCTGTCGATCTTTCTTGCTTCAAAAACAAGAGAGAATTTTGAACACAGTTTCCAATCTTCGTTTTACTCTTATTCAACGTTGTTTCATATCTGCAAAATTACAATGAGCAGTTGTATTCTCAAATTATGTTATGCACTGTTGCTGCTTCTATTCCAAGCTACAGGATCCATGAAAGCAGAAATGAAGTGCATAGAGAGGGAGAGACAAGCACTGCTCAACTTCAAACATAGCCTCTCACATGACTTTGACATGCTATCTACATGGAGCGACGATGACAGTAATCCTGATTGTTGCAAATGGAAAGGCATTGAGTGCCACAATGAAACTGGTCATGTACACATGCTTGATCTCCGTGGTCAGGATACTTATTTGTTAGGTGCCATCAACTTCACTTCATTGGTTCACTTGCAAAATATGGAATATTTGGATCTCAGCTATAATGATTTTCAATCGAGTCACATTCCAGAAGTTATTGGCTCATTTACCAACCTAAGATATCTCAATATCTCAGATTCTCAATTTGCTGGGAGAATCCCTTGTGAACTTGGAAAGCTTGCACATTTACAATATCTGGGTTTAGGGAGCAATTATCTCTATGGAGAAATCCCTTATCAACTTGGAAATCTGTCACGGTTGAAGTATCTTGATCTTGGGAGAAATTCACTTTCAGGAGCAATCCCTTTTCGGGTTGGGAATCTTCCTAACTTGCATACTCTAAGGCTTGGTGGCAATTTTGATGTTAAATCTAAGGATGCAGAGTGGTTGTCTAATCTCCATTCCTTAACAATTCTTGAGCTGAGTTCATTAGGTAATCTTGGATCCTCCCATCACTGGCTACAAACGATTGCCAAGCTTATCCCAAACTTGACGGAGTTGAGATTACTTGATTGCACTCTTTCAGACACTGATATTCAATCTTTGTTTTATTCTCATTCCAAGTTTTCCACTTCTCTTACCATCCTTGATCTCTCTTCCAATATGCTGACATCCTCAACACTTCAACTCTTGTCCAACTTCAGCCATAATCTCCAGGAGCTTTATCTTTCTAATAATAACATTGTTTTGTTATCTCCTCACTTTCGAAACTTTCCTTCTCTGGTCATCCTTGACCTTTCATATAATAATATTACATCATTTGTATTTCAAGGTATTTTCAAATTCAGCTCAAAACATCAAAGTTTATATTTCCAAAATTGCAGTCTTACCGATGAAAGTTTTCTTATGTCATATGCTTCCACCATGAATTCATCATCTTCTCTTGTCACTGTTGATCTCTCCTCAAACTTGTTGAAATCGTCCTCTGTATTTTACTGGCTCTTTAACTTCACCACCAATCTTCGTACCCTTTACCTTCTTAGTAACCTGTTAGAAAATCCCATCCCTGATGAATTTGGGAAAGCATTGAACTCTCTTGAATTTCTTGACCTCTCTTCCAACAAGCTAGAAGGCGAGATTCCATATTTCTTTGGGAACATATGTACACTGCAAATACTAGACCTCTCAAACAACAAGTTGAGCGGGGAAATTTCTAGCTTAATTCAAAACTCTTCATGGTGCAACAAACACATATTCAATGGTTTGTATTTAAGGAATAATCGGATTACTGGCGTGATACCTGAAAGCATCAGATTGCTGTCTGAATTAGAGTTTCTGTACTTGGGAGGGAATTCTTTGGAGGGCGATGTCACTGAATCCCATCTCAGTAATTTTTCCAAATTAAGAGGTTTGTTCTTATCGTACAACTCGGTGTCTTTAAAGCTCTCTAGCTGGGTTCCTCCTTCGCAATTAAGTTACTTGTTCGTAGCATCATGCAAATTAGGTCCATCTTTTCCTGGTTGGCTTCGAACCGCAAGTTCCTTGTTTAAGCTTGATATTTCTGATAATGGGCTTAGCGGTTTCGTACCAGAATGGTTTTGGAACAACTTGCAGTATATTGATATGCTGAATATGTCATACAACAATCTCACAGGTGCAATTCCGAATTTCAAGCTAAAGCTTCCTCTGAGACCATTTATAAATCTGAAGTCAAATCAATTTGAGGGCAAAGTTCCGTCATTTTTACTACAGGCTTCCGGGTTGATACTCTCCAAAAATAAATTTTCGGATTTGTTTTCATTCTTGTGTGACCGAAGCACAGCTAAAAACTTGGCCATTTTAGATTTATCGAACAATCAAATGAAGGGACAACTCCCAGATTGTTGGGAATCTATACGCTCATTATTATTTCTTGATTTAAGTAACAATGAAGTGTCAGGTAAGATTCCTATGTCCATGGGCACCCTCGTTCAATTGGAAGCGTTGGCTTTACGAAACAACAATTTAACGGGTGAATTGCCTTTTACTTTGAAGAATTGCGGCAATTTAGTAATGATGGACGTGGGTGAAAATATGTTGTCCGGTCCAATACCATCATGGATTGGAGAAAGTTTGCTGCAATTGATAATCTTGAGCTTGCGAGGGAATCACTTCCTTGAAAATATTCCTATTCAACTTTGCAATTTGAGACGTATTCAAATGTTGGATCTTTCGAGGAACAACTTATCAAAAGGAATTCCAACATGTTTAAAGAATTTCACTGCAATGTCTGAAAACAGCATCAACATGAGTGAAACTCGAAGTCATATATATTGGTACAATTATACTTCCCAATGAAATTTATGGCATTCTCTATTCAGATTACTATGAACTTTATATAACATGGATGTGGAAAGGTGTAGAACAGAGGTTCACAGATCCAGAATTGATTCTTCGGAGCATTGATCTCTCATGTAATAATTTAACTGGTGAAATACCAAAAGAGGTTGGATATTTGGTCGGATTAGTTTCTTTGAATTTATCAAGAAACAACTTGTGTGGAGAAATTCCTTCTGGTCTTGGAAATTGAAGTTCACTAGAATCTCTCGATTTATCAAGAAATCATTTATTTGAGAGAATTCCTTCTTCTTTTTCTCAAATTGACAGTCTAGGAAAATTAAACTTGTCACACAACTCTCTTTCTGGAAGAATCCCATCAGGAAGACATATGCAAACCTTTGATGCATCCAGTTTTGAAGGAAATATTGATCTTTGTGGTGAACAACTTAACAAAAGTTGTCCTGAAGATGTGACAATAGTAAAGCCTCAAGGAGCAACAAACCCTGGTGATGATTCTACTTTCTACGAAGGATTATACATGAGCTTGGGGCTTGGATACTTTGTAGGCTTTTGGGGCCTATTGGGGCCAATACTCCTTTGGCAACCTTGGAGAAATGCTTATCTGAGGTTCTTGAACACATTGACAGACTATATATATGTAATGATTGCAGTGAATGTGGCAAAGTGGCACAAGTGACCTGAAGATTGTTAGGTACGTTCTAGCTTCTTTACTTCAAAATCATACTTTTTTCTTATGCTGTAGTTACGTCAATCAATAATTGATACTCATGCAGAAAAAGCTAACTTGTATTTCAAACTAATGCTTATTATATTGACATTAATCTAATTGTTAGAATTTAATAATTTATATCACCCCAACTCATCTAATTCATTACCCTTTACTCGTATAATTATTTGTTAAGCTAGAGTGTTGTTACATAGAAGGGAAAAAAAAGAATAGTTGATGTTCGTTAAAATGTTTAATTTTGTTTAATAATTCATTTAATGGTATAGATTTTGTATCAAATTTTGTAACATATATTTATGAAGTAATGACTTTAACATATTATTTTCAGTTGTCGTTCCTTACAAAGTTGCGTGAGTAACATATTATTACCATTTATTCGTATAATTATTGCTTAAGTTAGAGGGTTGTTACATATAAGAGAAAAAGAAAAGAAAAGAAAAGAAAAGTTCATGATTTTGAAATGTTTAATTTTGTTGAATAATTCATTTAATGATATAGATATTTATATCAAATTATGTAACATATTTTTTGTGAATTACTAACTTTAACATATTATTTTCAGTTGTCAGTAAATGTGATTCGTTTATAACTAAATATTAGTAACTTATGACGTAAAAGATGCTTGTAACTCAACTAACAATAGAATGTGATGTGATGACGGTGTCTGGGTTGCATCCTCCACCATGTCAATATTAACATTCTCCTAGGTACTTGCACTTAAGATGTATCAAAAATACAAACATGGGAAAGTAAATACCAAATTAAAATTATAAATGAAAATTGAGGACGGAAATCTGTAAACAATCAAAATGAGTTAGCAGAGTTTTCTAATCAAGATATTTCCTTGTTTTCTTTTTTTTCAATAAAAAAGGTTTCTTACCTAATTGTAGGGTATAGCACTTCTTGTAATTTATTATGTCATTCCTTACAAATTTGCGTGAGTAACAAGTTTTTTACTCCAACAATAAAACCATACTTGTCCTCGTGGATCAGATATATGACTCCCAAATCACATTAATTCATCTGTTTTCACTTATTTTTCGGTGCTACCATCTATTTTTGTTTGGGTGAACTGTTACAGCATATATGTGTCCTCAAAAATAGGTAGTTTACTATACTAGTCAAGTGTTCACACCTCAATCGGTTTGGTGCTCTTGCTGGAATTCCAACTGTAAATATAGTTCCCCTGCTAACAATGTGAAACTACGAATAAAATTTTAAAAATTGCTTAACGTTACAAAATTATGGTAATTAAAGGTTAGATTTATTTTTGGTTTCATTTAAATAAATTCAAATTTGTCTTTATTTTTAATCCACCATCTAATATTTGCAGGAGTGCTACTGACTCCTGATCTGGGATGAAGGCATTGTGGATTGTCACAAGTGCAAGATAATTAATTTAATTAGCTTTGGAGTTTAGAAGATAAAATGTGGTTTGCATTTAAATAATGAGATTAAAGAAACTTACTATGATGTAGTTGCATTTTGTTGTACAATGTATTTGTAATGTTTATTTCTTTTTCATTTATGTGCTTGGACTTGAGATATCTAAAGTTTGATAGTTTTATATTTCATTATTATTATGCTGAAATTATAAAGTATAATAAATATATTTTTAATAAAATTTTATTATTATTAACTGTTTGTTTTTATCCTTTAGTTAATAAACACCCTTTTTATATATTCAACAAATTTTTAAACTAAATAAATCTATGTTAAACTCCTTAATGTCGTTTGATTTACATTCAACTTATATAGGATGTTTATTAGATTTTTGTTTCGTCCAAGATATCTCTATTAAGTTAAATAATAAAAATGATAAAAGGACAAACATAAAAAATAAATTATAAAATTAAAATAAATCAAATAAAAATATTTTTTTCCAAAAATTTGAAAATAAAAACATTAATTTTACCTTGAAATATGACGCTTATATATATATATATATATACATATACGGATTTATTAATGGAAATAAAATATAAATTAAACAATAGTTAAAATAAGAAATATTTATTTTAATTTCAAAATATAAAACACAAAATTTTAAATTTCTCACCATAAATTTTTTCATTATTATTATTATCAAATATCAAAGGTGATAAATCAAAAGTAAAAGAAAAAAAATTGATGCTTGCGTATGCAAATTTCTAATTTTAACTTATTAGAAATTTATTTAAGCCCAAAATCTACTGCTCAGTTCATCCTAAAGGTTTCGAAACAACAATATGACCCGTAAGACTTACTCACTTTCAGACTTTTGATGTTTTCGTTTATTTTAAAAAGCTAAAAAGAAAAGGCACTAAATCTTGCTCTAATTGGCAAACCAGCGGTTGTTGAGTAAACTTCTAATAGCTTTTCAACTTAAATAATATAATTAAAAAAATAAATTGTCAACATAGTATATTTTAAAAATTATTTTTTTATTTAATATTTTTTTCCCACGTTAGATAGTGTCTCACACCTGCACGAGTAATAGCAATTTCTTTTATTGTCATATGTGGATGATAAATTGACAAAATAAGAGTAAAAAATAATTAAATAATAATGTCTTGATTTTGTCTTAAACTTAACCCTCAATCTTGTGAAAAATAAATTAAAAAAAAAAAAACCCCATCGTATCAATTCAAGATCGGTAGTAAAAAAAAGAATCTAAGATTAGATATTATTTCAAACAAGTAAAATTTGATGCACTTTTTTTTTAGATTTGACTTTTTACGCCTAGATTTATTTTGAGCCAATCCCTTTTTGATTTTACTGTGAGCTAGCATTATGTGTATCCTTCATTATACAGTACCTTTGAGTTTAGAGTATTTAGGCCTTTTTTTTAATTGACAAGTAAGATTCAGTTAACAAACTAATAATAATAATAATAATAATAATAATAATAATAGTAAACATGATAATAATTAAGTAAATTGAACATAGATTAATATTTATAAATATTATTTTAATCTCTCCATCTACCGGCTTGTTAACAACTAACTTCATTTGTATTTGGTTTATATGCATGTCTATATATGTTCTTCAGGGATTATTTTACTATTATCTTTTTTTATTTATATATTAACCCTTTTATATTTTAGATTTACTTGCGTTGATTCTCAATTTTTGTGTTTGTTCAATTTTAGTCTTCCAATTCTTATTTAACTAGAAGTTTTTTTTTTTAATTAAACAAATTTAATCTGTTCATTAAATTGTCATTCAATCTTGTTGTCTTGTACTGACAACGTCGATGTTCTCTTGTTGTCCCTCAACGGCTCGTTTACTACTTCAACACTATCGTATATAAAAAATTCATAATGTTAAATTTTTTCTTTTATTTTAAACATTATATTTTTCTTAAATTTTTCTTATTTTAAGTATAAAAATTATTTTTTATATAATGATTAATAAATATTATATATAAATTACTCTATTATTTGTAAATATTAAAATATTTTTTCTTATTTTAAAAAATCAATTAAACAATAAAATTTCTTTCTGAATAGGTTCAACAATCTCAACTAATTTTCATTTTTTTTATTTTTTTTAATTTCACCCCTTTATGCTTTAAATACCTTTTAAAAAGTTTCTCAATTTTATATTTTAAAAAAGAAGAGTTTTATCTTAAAGAACCATGTGACTTTAATATTATTGTTGCAAATGTAAAAGTGAGAATAAAAATTCATCTTGCCCAACTATTTTTATTAAAGTAAAATTTTTAAGAGACTAAAACATCTAAGTCTAATTGTAAATTTTGAGATAAAATATTTTTCATTCATTATATGTTAATTTAGTATAAGATAATTTATAATTTTATATAAAAAAAATTATAACTATACTTTTTTTTTACATTATTAAGAGAATTTTTGTAATATCACTAACTAAGTGATATCTGAATTGCACGTTAGAGTATTTTTTTTTTTTTAATTTGTTTTTATATGAAAATTTTGCAAGATTAAGAGTATATTTGTTTTCTATTTTAAAAATAATTTTTTATTTTTAAAAAATAAAATATAAATTTATAATGTATTTTATTTCTAAAAACAAAAAACTATTTTTAAAATAAAAGACAAACATGTTCTAACAATTTCAAGTCTTTACACTTGTTTCATGCTTCATATTCAGTGATTGTTTAATTTTCCAACTCACCAAAAAGGTTAGAACAAAAAAGATATATAACAATTATATCTTTCCATGATAAATCATTAAAAAAATATTATTTGAAATTAACAATTCATTTTATATTCGAATATAAGTATGATTAATTTTAAAAGTTATAATACCACATACAATTAATATATGACGTATAAAGTTAATATTAATATACTTTATGTTATATTATGTCAAACTACTTATCCAATACATAATATTTAAATTAAAATATAGTTCATATAATACATGTAAGAATGAAAATAAAATTGTCAGGTTGAAATTAATGTTTATATTTATTTTTAATCTTTTTTATTTATATATTTGTTTTAATTATTTCTATCCTTTTGTTTAAAAAAGTAAAATAAATGTTTTAAATATTGTTACAAATTTACCTAATTAATATTAAAAGTTATTTTAAATCGCATATAGTTTAAAATAAAGGAAACTGTGAGAGAATAGTTGAGTACACCAGCACATGAACTAAATTTTACAGCAGTTGATTCAATTTAACTCTTATTTTTTATGTGACTCAGCTGCTAAACTTTCTCGCCTGCAAAATGGGTTAGATAATTAATATACAAACAAAAGCATGGCTTATTTATTTTTTTAATATATTTTTAAAAATAAATTATCACAATAAGTTAAAAATAAATAAATTCTCGAATGAAACTCTTTTTTGCCTAGTAAGCCTATGTTTTGTATTTATATCAGATAGAATTAATTTTTTATTTTTAATTTAATTATTTCATCTCTTAAGAAAATGAAATCATGAGAAGACGACATTTGGCAAAACTTGAGATTGGTTCGTTGGA